GATCAAGCCCCATGTCAGGCTCTGCACTGAGTGTGGAGCTTGCTTGGGATTCTCTCTCTCCCTTTGCCCCTTTCTTCCTCCCCTCACTCGAGCTCTCTCTCCTTTCTCTCTAAGGAAAAAAAAAAAGTTTATTGCCTCTCATCTCCAAATTCATACTTTATTGGCTGACTGTGAAAATGGATCTATGCTAGCCGAGACGATGCTAAGCTTTGTCAGAAGCAGGCCCTGAATAGTCATTGTTGAAGGCACAATGCTGTGGGCATAGTGGGCAGGTTCTGCATTCCATGGACAAGGGTGAGTCCAGTCTGATGGTCAGCTAGTGAACATGGTCCTCTCAATGACCTCTTCCAACACAATTTCCAGTAAGTTCCTCAGTCCAGCCCCAAGGGTAGTGGCTACTTCTTACTTCTGCTATTCCTATATTTTTTAGAGTTCCCTCAATTTTTTAAATTTTTTGAGGACCCTCCACTGTTTTTCATAGTGGCTGTGCCAATTTTCATTCCACCAACAATGTACAAGAGTTACTTTTTCTCCACATCCTCACCAACACTTGTTATTTTTGCCTTTTTTATTTCAGCCATTCGGACAGGTGTGAGGTGATATCTCATTGTGGTTTTGACTTGCATTTTCTTGATGATTAGTGATGTTGAGCATCTTTTCATGTGTCTGTTGGCCTTCTGTATGTCTTCTTTGGAAAGATGTTTGTTCAGGTCCTCTGCCCATTTTTATTTGAATTATTTGTATTTTTTAGTGTTGAATTGTACAAATTTATACATACACACACACGATATTAACCCCTTATCAGATATATAATTTCCAAGTATCTTCTCTGATTCAGTATGTTGCCTTGTCATTTTGTTGATGATTTCCCTTTCTGTGAAAAAGCTTTTTATGTTGGTGTAGTTCCAGTGGTTTATTTTTGCTTTTGTTTCTCTTGCCTAAGGAGACATATCTAGAAAAATATTTCTACAGACTATGTCAAAACTGACAATTCTTTATATTAAACTTTCCCTGTTCAAATTACTGTGATCTCTCTTTCTTGACTGGACAGTTATCAGTATCACTAGAAGTTCCATATCAGCTTTATAAAAAACGTATCTGGGGGCGCCTGGGTGGCTCAGTCATTAAGCGTCTGCCTTCGGCTCAGGTCATGATCCCAGGGTCCTGGGATCGAGCCCCACATTGGGCTCTCTGCTCAGTGGGAAGCCTGCTTCTCTCTCTCTCCCACTCCCCCTGCTTGTGTTCCCTCTCTCCCTGTCTCTCTCTCTCTGTCAAATAAATAAATACAAAATCTTAAAAAAAAAAAAAAGTATCTGTTCAGTACAAAAAGCTTCTGATGTCTTTTTGTTCTGATTTATTTGCAAATGAGAGCATAGTGCAGCAGCTTGTCATGTCTTGAGTTCTCACGGGATGCTTATCCCTCATATCAGGCTCTTCCTAAGCATTTTCACTTTAATTAGGTGAAAGGAGGGACTGCCAACAAGGCCCATTGACCAGGAGTTTTGGATAGAAACCTGAAGGAAAGCACCTGGAACTATCTCAGGCTTCCTCTTTCTGGTTCTGGTATCAGCTTTAAACCATCTATTCCATATATCTTGTTTCACCTGACAGGTTTCTAGCCAAAGTGTTTTGTCTCTGTTGATTTTGGGGGGAATTAATTTTTGAGCTAGAGATTTTATATTTAGCCAAGGTATTCTTCACATATATGGGTAAAAAAATCATGGTAAGATATACAATTATATTTATAACCTTCTGGTGAAAAAAAAGAAGAAAAGAAAGAAAACTTGGCCACCTGTGCCAGTACAAGAAAAAAAAAACAAAAACAAAACACAAAGAATGAAGAGGATGGGGCGCCTGGCTGGCTCAGTTGGTGGAGTGTGTGACTCTTGATCTCAGGGTTGTGGGCTTGATCCCCATATTGCGGGAGAGAACACTTAAAAATAGAATCTTTAAAAAAAAGAATGGAGAGGATAAGGAATTGGTAGTTAGCATTAGCATCACTTAAATATAGAATGAGGTTTAAATGATGGTAGTGTCTATGTTCATTTGTTCCAGACAGGTTTATTGAGTGCCTGTGATGTCAATTCTTCCAAATCAATCCATGAATTTAATGAAGTTCCACTTAAAATGTCAATAGAATTTTTCAAGTTTAGTTTAAATAGATTCATTAGAACAAATGTGAAAAATAGTTTAAAATTTTTGAAAAACAACTCACAAATCAAAAGTTGTTCTACAAGTTACTAGAATTTATTATGGTAGTATACTAATTATGACAACATGTTAGAGTACAAGAATAGATACATACATCAGTGGGACAGAGTGGAGAGCCTGGAAACGGTGCAGATATGTCAAAGAATAGTGTGGAAAGTAGTGACTTTAAGTAATGGTATGGGAAGAACTGGGATCCATCCAGGGTAGGGAGGGAGGGCATAACATGAAATAATGACTTCATACCATATAGAAACTGAACTCCAGATGACTAAAGGAACAACTGAAAGGTCCTAGAAGAAAACACAGAAGGTTATTTTTATTTTTGTAGAATTCTGGAAGAAAACACAGAAGAAAACACAGAAGCTTATTTTTGTAGAATTCTGGTGAAGAAAACATTCATGAACAAGACCCAAAGGCAGAAGTAATAAAATAAAAGATAGCAGTATGCACAAAGTTACAATTGCTGTATGGCAACATATAGGTAACAAAGTCGAAAAAAAATGAAGACTGAGAGAACATTTGCCATATACAGGAGCAAAATAAATATATATATATGTAGAATACAAATAGCGTATAAATCAATACAGAATGACAATATAAAATCACATGCAACATATATTTAAAAATAAATCACACACTAAGAAAAACAAATGACTAATAAATGTATTGCAAAGATTTTAAAAGTCACTAGGGAAATGCAAATTAAGGCAAGATGTCATTTTTCCCAATAGGCTTAAAACTATCAACAATTGAGAGTATCCAGGGTTAGCAAGAGTGAAAGACAATTTTGGAGGTGAATTTGGCAGCAACTATCAAAGCATAAATTTTACATACCATTCAACAACATAATTCCACTGCTAGGAATTTATTTAATACAAAATGTACACAAGTGTACGAGATATTTATACCATGATATTCATTGTTGCATTAAATTTATTAGCTAAACCTGGAAAACTACACTTAATTGCACAACAGTGGAGAAACAGTTGAGTAAGTTATAATGGTGTGCTGGTCCTTGGTTGGCTTTTTCCTTGGATGCATTCCTCCCCTTCTTCCCTGTTCTGTATTCCCTCCAGGCCAGAGACTTCATCTCCTAGGCTTTTCTTTTAAATGGCTTTGACTCACTTAGGCCAATGGGAGGTATTGCTGGGAGATTGGTTGGCTGTAAGAAGGGAGTAGCCATCATACTCTTCTAATCATCTTACATTTGTTACTGTTTTTGGGGTTTGTTCCATGGCCGATGATCTTCTTAGGCCCATTGTGGTTCAGACCTTCCATGTGTGACCCAGTCCCTGAGCAGCATTAACACACCCTCCTTTTTTTTGTCCCTATAGCTTAAAGATGCTAGTGACTTCCTATTGATATTAATCCCTAGATTTCTTCTTTCTTCTCATTTGATTTTTCACTTCTTTTATAATTTCTGTAACTGATTCTTTGTATTAATGTTCTGCTACTTTAACTACTTAAAATGATTTTGTATTACTTCTTGGAATGTACACACATATGCACACATACACCTCTGCACCTAGTGTGTGGGGGGGAGGCTGTCTAACCACATGCTCAGTGGAGCAAACTTCTGATAAGTTGATGACTCCACAATAACTCAGGTTGTGCCACTTTTCCAATGCTCACTTCCACAAATAAATGTCAGTTTTTTTTCAAGATGAAGCACCATACTTATTCCTAATCATGTAACATGCATGTGTAAAAGTGTAATACAATTTTTATTAGGTCTCAATCTTCTTTTTTTTCCTTATGGATCATTACAAAGTTTTTGAGTATTGTACCCAAATCCCATTTTTCTCATAAGCCTCATAGTTTTTATTGCACAACTTTGCAAACTATTCTGATTTTTAGCAGTTTGTAGGTCATGTAACAGCAGAATTGACTATTCATACACCAAAATGTTAATAGGGTCTCTGGGTAGCAGTTTAATTATTGTTTATCTACAGTTTCTATTTTTTCCTAAAATAATCATGTATTGATAATTTAATGAAATTTACATAAACATGTTTAAAAGATGAGTTGGTAGCTAAAGGGTGATCATAGCCATTCTAGGTGAAGGGCTGAGGCTGCTCAGGAAACCCCCTCATTCACTGGTGATGCAATCAATGAAGTGCCCTCTAGTCTCCCTGAAAGGCATAATCAACTTAGGCTCCTCCTGCAAAACACAGATACAGTCTTGCAGCAACATCTTGGCAGCTTCTTTAATCAGAGAGTCCCCATAAGTGCTCAGAAGAATACGCATGTGATCAGTCAAGGTTCCATTAAACATGGTAGATCATGTAACAAGCCAAATGCCTCTAAATTGGTTTGCAAACATTCAGAAGTTAACACCATACAAATCTAGAAATCTATAGGCAATAACCAGTGTGATACAGTCAGTGCTTACTGACTTTGAAGCTTAGTCTTACTGAGATTAGAGCACCCTGTCCTTGCAGGAAATAGGACTCTGTGAGGAGACAACACATAGAACACAATGTGAATTTCAAAGGAAAAAAAAAAAGAATTTTCCTTTTGTGATCTGAGTCTTGAATTGCTGTCCACTTTTTCAGAGTGAACTTTCACCTGTTAGCACTTTTTTCTTCCCCTTTCTAAGGCTGTATCATGTTTTTGTTTTGTTTGTTTTTCTTTCTGTCTTTCTTTCTCTTTCTTTCTTTCTTTCCTTTTTTTTTTTTTTGATGTTAAGTTATTCCACCTACAATCAAAATCCAGTGTTTATCTTTGATTTGGGCTTGATTCCTCCCCTTTCCCTCCCTCACATGTCCTACACCCACTGAACTCTGAACTCTTTCTTGGTGCCTGTGTTTTCCTGTCTCTCTACACAGAATCCTCTGTTGGCTGTGTTCTCCGTGGGGCTTTGTTTCTAGCTGTTCTCTGACCAAGGGCTTGTTCTGTGCAGCTCAGCTCTTATCCTCTTTGTTCAGCCTCTGGCTTCAACCACTGAATCACAAATATTCTCCAGCTGGGAATCAGACAAGGGCAGACATGAACCCAGAAGCCCAACAGGATGTTTCAGTTTCCCAGGGAATTCGCATGATGTTTTATATGATGAAGCCCAATGAAACGTCATTCCAAACCCTGGAAGAGGTGCCTGATTATGTAAAGCAGGTGAGACTATCTGGGAAAAGGCCACTGTTGCTTTTGTCTTAATAAGTACGTTAAACACATCCTGGGGTTTTGTTCACTTTCGTTCTTCAAATTATTAAATTCTAATAAAAAATAATTCAGCCTTATAAAGGCATGGAACAACATTAGAATTTCTACTTGAATTGAATTTCTGTACAATATCAATAACCAGTTTCTCCTATTAAACTCCTCTCCTTGGATATGTCACTACAGAATATGTAAAGCTTTACAAAGTTTTCCTAGACCACAGTGGTGTTACAAATTTAGTTGTCAGAAGCTCAGTGTCAAATGGTTATATGACATCAGTAAACTTTGTAACAATTTTGGTTTTAAAGGGCAAACCACCTCCCAGGAAACTATTTCCTCTTTAATTTGGTAGAGTAGTTCTGCAGAATTGATATAGAGCTGACTGAGTCCAACTCTGACTTCCTAAGTTTGAACTTGAACCAAGTTTTCTTTGAAATTCTGAAGTGTTCAGAGGTACTTTTTACTTCTGGTTCCTGGCTATGATTGGAAGTGGAAATATCCAGAATTAGAACTTGAATACCTAAGTTCCCCACCCTGTCAAAGTTGTTCCTATAACACTAGTTCAGACCAGAAATAAGGGGAAAAAAAATGACATCAGAGAATATGTTCTTGGGACTTCAGTTTAGAAAACTTCAGAACTCATGACCAGCTTCCAAGTGAGTAAAACCCCTAACTTTTTCAGGATTTGATATTATTCCTTTCCTAGTTTTTTAAGTCGAAAAATGTGGTACTCACATCTTCATAAATCATTATTTTTCTATTTTAACACCAAACTTTGCTCAGTATTTATCATCCGTAGTGGAGCCTAAAAACACTTATTATAGCACAAAACTAAGTCTGAGTGAATAAAATTTGAATGATGTTTTAAATACACATTTTAAACGATCATATTCTCTGAAATACTTGGAAGAAAATGCTTTGTTCCTACAGTTTCAATTTTGTCATTCCTGCAATTCTAATATGAGTAACTAGAAATATGTGTATCCTAAGTGAAGCCTTTTAAGGAGGATCTGTCTTAATCATGGAGATAATAAACATCTGATTATTGTACTTATTTTAAAATGTATTTTTTTTTAGGTCTAACTCAAAACTCACCCCCCGCCAAGCTTATTGTTTTCTTGGCAGAATTATCATGGTTACATCTATGGTTATATTTCATTTCCAAATTGGATGATAGATTTTGAGCACCTGTTTAGTATATGTCTGAAATAATCAGATTTCTTTGCCTGTTGGGAGGAAATGATCCTCTAGGATAAGTATATACCTTCTCCTGCTATGAGATGTCACTCTGGGCCTCCCACTTCTGGAATGAGTAATCAGGAAATGTGGAAGAATTTCATACCAAGCACAATAGCATCTTTTTTGTGCCATTTCCTTTTCCAGGCAACCCCATTTTTCATTTCCTTAATGCTTCTTGAACTGGTCGTCAGCTGGATTCTCAAAGGGAAACCACCAGGTCGTTTGGATGATGCATTGACATCAATATCAGCCGGCATTTTTTCTCGGCTTCCAAGGTGAGTTAGTTGTTAGCCACACTGAGTGAATAAACTGAAATTCTCTAAATAAGATGGAAAAGGAACCCACTGTATGGGAAGTTAGTCTGTTTTCACATATCTACATATACCCCCAAAGTATCCAGTTACTGTCATTATTTAAATTTTTGATATTTCGTTCACCATGGATTTGTTTTTGTATTCATTGTTAAAGATATTGCTCTAAATATTATTTATCTTGATTACTGATTTTATTGCTGCCCCCTTAAATTTTGTGCCCAAGGTAACTGCTTCACTTGCCTTACCCTAGTCCCAACCCTGAGTTATGCTGTAGTTATCTACTGGGAAATTAATTTTGCCTCCGCCAGATTCACATGCTATGCAATCTGGGGTACAGACACTCTCTAGTAAAGATCACAGAAAGCTTTGAATTACTGCGTGGCCTCCCGAGTGGTCTCTAGTCCTGTTTCTAGTGCTACTTCATTTTCAGCCAAACATTTCCATAATGTGGACATGGTGAAAATTCTTCACAGGTTCCATATTGCCTAAGGATAATGTTTGAATTTTTTTCCTGATCTATAGAAGCCTTTGTCTCTCTACCCTTACTTTTTCTCCCTTCATTCTCCTTCTGCCTTTGCAATATTTCTTCCTTCATACTCTACTGCTTGCCATTGCCCAGATGTCCCACATGCGTCCCTCTGCTTGGAAGGCCATTCATGTGGCTAACTGATTCATTTCTTAAGTCTAAGCATGGACTTCTCTTGAAGAGTCACTGTGCAGCAAATCTTCTCTGTCCTCCAACACTGCTTTAGGCATCACTTCACTATGGTCCCATGGAATCTTGTGCTTACCCCAGATACAGAATTGTCACATGGCATTATGCTTACCTGTTTTTTTCCCCCAGTCCTTCCTGATAAATTTCATGCAACTTGAGAGCAAGAGGGATCTTTCTTCATAATTTTAACTCCTATGCCTGGAATGATGTCTGGTATATCCTAGATTTTTTTTAAATTTAACATTTTTATAGTGTTATATTGATGATAAGATGAGATGATGAAGGAACAAAACAGTAAACAATAAATGACCTACTACTTTTTAGAAAGAGTAAATTATAATGTAGGCAGAGCAGAAAGCAATGCATGAGAGGCTCTTCAGTGCATGAGACTTTACCAAAGGGACAGAGGGTGAGGGAAGATTCCCTTAGAATTCTGTGCTCTGCATTGCTGAACTCTGTGCTCTCCTACTTCCCACCCATTGCTTCTTTTACTTTTTTAAGAGCTTTACTTCTGACCAGTGCTCATTGCTTTGGAATGTTTCTGTGAACTACTCAGTGGGAAACCAAGGTGGATTTTTAAAAATAAAAACTTAAAGATAACTGAGAAAAGGTAGAATAATTTCATACACTTGCATAAAATTGTTTAGATAGGAAGTAAACCTAAGAGTAAAACTTCTTTCATAAATTTTACCATGGAAAAGTAGGCTAATGGGTATTAAATAATAATAGTAATAATTTTGATAATCATCATAATAATGACTCTGAAAATCTCATATGGTTGCACATTGCTGTCAGAATCAGAGGATAATATCCCAAGTTATTGGCAGTTAATTCCCCTAATATGCTAAATTAGAGTTTATAAAATTATACATAAGTTCCTCTATTTCATGTCTCCCTTGAGCAGAATTGAGCAAGAAATATATTCAGCATACTGAGAGGATATGTAGATTTGATTTTTGAAAACTACCCAGTTGGTTACTGTAGTTTATTTTGAGGAAGTTAAGTGTACAAGTTCATGGAAATCAGACAGTTGATGAACTGTAAGAATAACTTGATAATTGAGAGGTGCCCTGCAGGTACAATTAGGGATCCCATATTTTGTTGAGCTGGAATGAATTTATTAAGAACTCAAGGAGACATCAAGTTGAGTGAATGCTTCAGCATGACTTTTACTTTTTCAGGTTGGACTTTGGTCACAAGTGGAATTAGATTATTCTCTTATCATAACATGATAACTACTAGAAATAGAAACTGCATCCTTAGTACTATATTTCTGCTCAGCAGTGTGATAAAAAGGGCACAGAGTTTTAACAGGTACACAAGAATCAAATATATATATGATTACTAAAAGAGGAGAGGGAGGGAGAGAGGGAGAGAGAAAGGGGGAGGGGGAGAGGGAGAGGGAGAGGGAGAGAAAGCGAGAGACCAAAACAAAGCAGTCCTTCTGGGATGGAAACATGCAGCGCCTTTCCTTCACAGCCCACTCCCCAGAACACTCTTTAAGCTGACACAATCTGTTCACCCTGGTGCCCTTTGAAAGAAGTTGTGAACTTGAATGTGGAGCATATTTTTCCATAGTTGTATTTTGAACAGGAACAGCAAATTGCTTGTTGTTGTTTTTGTAGGTGTGGCCAGCAATTCTAAATTATGAAATGTGGATAATTTTGTAAGTTTTGCAAGGATTTTATCTTTTATAACCTTTTACCTAAAGCATTTAAGCAAAGCAAATTATCTGAAAAAGAAATTTTAAAATATTTTCATTTATTTTGTTCCTATTAAGCACGCACACACACACGCGCGGGGAAGGAAAGCAGATCCACAGGATCCACTCCACTCAGTCCCCTTTCAGCAAAAGACAGGAACTCTTAAAACAATATTTCAGCATCAGGGGGAATCCTCATGCAAATCATTAACAGCTGAAGGTTAGATTAACACGGCATTGATCATATCCTCTCCAAGGGACTAATTTCATTTTCTACACCAGCAACAGGGGCTTGCCACATTCTTAAAATACATAATTGTGAGGAAAATGGTACTATACCATTTATTAGTCTGCTTGTGAGGAATTACACTTTGGATAATAATTCCAAGTAGGCATGTGGCCTCTGACAAAAGAAGTTGTGGAAATCAAAGTGAAACCATGAACATGTTTTTCCACTTTGCCTTTCATGTAATGGAAATGCTGTATGCAGACTTTGAGGAAAAACAATGTTTGTTTGAGGATCTCAATTTCATTAATGCATAAAATTCAAAATATCTTGAAGATTAGTAGCATACTTAGCACATTGATAGAAAAGATACATACTGTGTCTTTCAAATATTTATATAAGGGAAAATATTAATCATAGACAAGATTATATCTTGTTTATAAGTCTGTCAGACAGACCATGACGTGTAATAAAAGTCCATCTGGCCTAAGAACCAGATTCTGGGCAGACCTGCATCTGTTTTGTTCTTCTGGAATCTAGTAGGCAGACTCTTCCTTGTTAGAATCTAGTTCTGAAGTTATAGACAGATATTTTTATTTATCATAGTTAAATGCAGTGGAGCATATGTAGATAATCTGCCTTTCTATCAGTTACTTGCATATGTGACTATAAAAATTAAACTTAACAAAATACTTACTAAATCTACTTTTAAAAAATCTATCTAAAACTTGTGAAATATCCTGCTACCGACTTCAATGCTAATGAGTGAAAAATAATCACATCTCTTTTTTTTTTTCCTGCTTATTTAAGCAGAACTCAATTTCCAATCCTTAGAAAACCAGGACCTCAATTTGTTACTTCCTTCCAATGTTTCTGCTTCCATAAATTGCATCCTCCCCAGAGAAATTTTTTTCCCGATATAAATATCTACAGTGTGTTTGTTTTTAATGGGTTCATTTAGTCTGTTGAAACAGCAGATTATAAATCAAATTGCAATAGGTTGAGGGATAATTTAAGTAGGTAAATTTTCAAATAAGTTGGGGACACTCCACTTTTAATACATATGGGTCGTTGCCAATTTTTACTATGGAGCTAGCTCCACAATGTTGAAACATACATAGGCACCGTTTTACTGGCCATGACTGCCATGGAATTTTCCACTCCTGACAAGAAAGTTTCAATTCATTAAAAAAAAAAATTAAAGAGGAGGAAATTAAACTTCTTTAAAATACTTTGACTCCTTGGGGTGGGATTGGAGAATAAAGGAAAATTGTATACTGGGTTTTTATACTAGACCGTAGTATCAGAAGTAGTACTGACTTTGGCGACATCAGACTACTAACAGATCAGTGCCTGTCTTGTTGGATGAGGACTTGAATCAATAGCTATTCATTGTCCAGATAAGATATAAATGCATTTATGTAATATTAATAATGATATTTTACTATTACTATATTAATGTAACTTTTTATTAACACTCCAGGGGAAGAAAATACATTTTTAAAACTTGTTGGTTTGTTAATTATATTTGCTATGGAGAAGGCTTCATTTCCTCTTAACTTTTACCTCAAACTTTATAAATAGACTTTGTCTTTGTTGTTAATTGTGGAACTTCAGAGATTGCTATTAGACTAACCTTCCCTAATGATGCAAGCAAGCTTCCTTGCACTTGCTCAATAGAGAAATGGAATTACTTCAAGTAATTTACTTCGGGCAAAGTAAAGAATGTAGCAAATTTGCTTCTTCCAAATTTACTACATTGTATTTATAAAGGTCTATGGTTTTTGTGGTTGTTATAAAAAGAAATTAAGTGATTGCTTCATCAATGTAATGTCATTTCACAGTAAGAAAAAGCAGTACAGATGTTATCTGTCTTCAGGAGGTAAAGGTTGTATTACGTATTCTGTTAATACGGAGCGAAAATCAATATTCCACTAGATGGAGCAAAAGTGGCAGTAGCTTTACAGATAGGGCAAGTCCCTGGACTAGGTTTAAGAGATTTTGAAATAAATAAACAACAAAATTTCTTGGAAAAAATCAGTATGTACTAGTCCAAATATATTTGTTTATAACTTCGTGAAGTTTGAAAGGAGATTTAGAATGATCCCATTCAAATATTGGTTTATTTTCTGATTTATAAGACAGCATTATTAGAAACAAAAATGTCCTATTGATTTTCTTCAATTTTGCATTATCTGGCCAAATCAGACAGTACACACAGATCTCATGACAGTGATGAAATAGTATAAATTGGCAGATATCCATGAGTACTGAGTACAAAATTTCACTTTGAAAGTCTCTTTGAAATTTTAAGTTTA